GTGGTGCACAGGCTTCATTGCTCTGCAGAATGTGGGATCTTCCCGGATCAGGGCTCGAACCCATGTGCCCTGCATTGGCAGGCGGATTCTTAACCACTGCGCCACCAGGGAAGTCCCCACCACTAGCTTTTATTCGTAAGGAAGCGTGGGGAAGCAAACTGAGGAAAGGGAAGTGGAGGGGTAGAGAACAGGTAAATGTTTGGGGTGATATGGGAACAAAGAGCAAACCACATCCAGGACTTTGAACTACACTGAGACCCAGAGGAGATGGCGCGGAGGTGGAGGAAGCAGGCACCTGGCACATGGGCAGGAGCAAGAGGCAAGTGTGTGTTACAGTTCCGAGAAGCAGTGGGGCTGCCGAGCAGGCATGAGCACACAGCTGGTGTGACTTAGAGGGCCGGAACTGCTCCGGTGTATCTAGTCAGAGCACTGAGCTTTAGACAAAAAACCCTGCGTGAGAGGCAGGAGACGGGGTTTGCTGTTCTCAGGGCCTTTCCGGACTGGAACAGCGTAAGCTAACAGTGACACTAAATGCAGTGCATGGCTCACCACTTTTGCCCCTGCCTGAAATGTCCCCCTGCCTATTCCCAGGCCCCTTTACTTCTTTGAGTCCTATTCTTCCTCCAAACCATCCTCATCCAGGAAGCTTTCCTGGATCGTCCAAATTCTCAATTATTTCTCCCCCATCTCAATTCTCATAATACTTACCGTCCACATCATTCATCTGGCATCTATCATGTACTACTTTAGGAAATATAAATATATCCCATACGTGTACATGTAGATATGTATATATTTATATATATCCATATATACATAAGATATATATGCACATAGATATATACACACATACATACATATATACTTTTTGTGTGTGTGTGTGTGGTACGCAGGCCTCTCACTGTTGTTGCCTCTCCCGTTGCGGAGCACAGGCTCCGGACACGCAGGCTCAGCCCCCATGGCTCACGGGCCCTGCCGCTCCGCGGCATGTGGTATCGTCCCGGACCGGGGCACGAACCCGTGTCCCCTGCATCGGCAGGCGGACTCTCAGCCACTGCGCCACCAGGAAAGCCCCATACATATATACTTTTATCTGCAAGAGACAAGAGACTGTGAGTGATTTGCTAACCACTGTAACCCATTCCTTCGAGCTCAATGCACGTGCTGGGAACCAAAGAGGTGAACACACACAGAATTCAAAGCTAGAACTCCTGCGTTTTAGCCCTAGTACCGCAGTTCACTAGAGGTCTAATTCCAACAAGGCACAGTCACTTAATTAACCTCTCTAGGCCTCACTTCCTCCTCAGAAAAAGTGGCTAAAAATACTAACACCTCCTCACACAGTTCTCAAAAGCAACAAATTAAATCATGGATGTGGAAGCACCTTGTAAATCACTCTTCGGATTTAGGATAATATTATTATGCTGTTCTGAGTTTTAATCTGGACTCTTCCATTTCATGATGGTGTAACCTTGGGTAAATTCTTCAGCCCCTAAAATCCTTCACTTCCTCACCTGTAAAACAGGAAAGATAATGCCCAACTTGCAGAGTTGTTGTAAGAATTAAATGAAATCACATATATAACGTGGCTAGTACGACACACAGCACCCAGCACTCACTCAGAAGTCTTGGTTCCTTCCCTCGTCTCACCAAGTGTGTCCTGCTAAGCCTTCTGTATCGTGTCCCTGACAGTACCTTGCACACAGCAGAAGTCCGAGGAATATTTACTCTTCTTCGAACGATGTCGATGATGACAGATAACAACTATCGACTATTGGTGAAGATGACTTAATGGTCGTCCAACGCCCAGCAAGCCTGACTTTTAAATTGGAACGCACCCCTAGAGCCGCGTGCTTTCTCCCCCTCTCCTTTATGACCTGTGGGGTGAGGGTGGGAGGAGGCTTCCCGTCTAGCAGAGGCCCCTTTAAAGCTGTACCCGGGCTCCCCCTCTGCCAGCCAAGTTGCTAAAAATACTACTACAGCAAAAGCTGGAATATTTGCCGAGAAAACTGAATTTCCTGCCACCCTCACCCCCTCCGCTCAAATGAGTAAAATCCTGACCTAAGAAGCCCCCAAATCAGCTCCACCAAAGGCACAGCCTCCTACTTCCCACCCTCGTCTTATCATGGAGTCCCTCTGTGGGCTTGAGCCAGGATGTTATGTTCAGAAAGTGCCCACTCCCGGGAGGGGAAGCCGCAAGAATTGGCAAATAGCTTGCCATGTGGTTTGGCTTTTCTCTCTGCTCACAAGGACCAACTCTCTCCAAATTCCCCTCCATCTGTCCCAAGAAGGATCTGTATCGGACCCCAGAAGCTTCCCACTAATCCATCTTTTATCCTCTCTTTTTTTGAACCATCTCCTCCTCTGCCAGCCTTGCCTTCTATTCTGTGCCCTCCTCCTCCACGCTCCATGCTGGGTCCAGACCCTGCACCCACACGTCCCAGCTCCCTCTCTAACCGAGCCCTCCCGGAGTTCTTCTCCTGTCCAGGCCTGCAGTCCTTCTCCTTCAATAGCTGGGGTGGGGGTGGGGGGGGGCAAAGATAGAGGAGAGTTTTTGAAATCTCGAGATTTCAAGAGTCAAGGAGGATAACTGTAGGGCCCAAGCCCAGCAGGTTACTAGGTAACACTCCAAAGGCTGACCTTGGCCCCAGGCGAGACGCAGGGTGAGGCAGCCTGCTCCGTAAACCAGCCAGACCCAGCATTCCACACTGCTCCTGTCCCCTTTCCTTCTCATTGGTTCAGAGTTCTACCCAGCCGGACTAGCTGACAAACTCTGGCCACTTAGTCCAGATGAGGAACCCCTTACCAGGGGAAGTGCATGCCCTTGATGTGTGCTGGTGAAGGGGTCCACTTCCGCGCATGTCTTTGGATGTGAGTGTGTGGCAAGGTGCCCACAGTATGTGTCTCTGTGGATGTGTGGACCTTGTGTGTGTCTGCGTGTAGGTGTCATTAAATGGGGCCATCCATGTTGCTGCTTCTGCCTCTGGATATTTCAGTCTGTGGGTGTCTGTCTTCCTATCCCAGTCTCTGCCTTCCTGTCTGTCTACCTTTTCCTCACCTCGGGGCCTGCCCATCCCCCAGGACAAGCACTGTGGCCAGTTCTGCGTAGGCGCCTCAAGTGGGCTGTCGCTGAAATGGTTGTTTTGCCCATGGAACTGATAAGCGTGTGTACCTGTTCTCCCTTGGGCCCACTGGTGTTCAGAGACACCCTCACCCCACACAAAGGTGTCTTTTAGGAAGACGAAAGGGCTGTGCTGCGTGTGAGGGGGTTTGCTGGGGGGGGGGCACATTTTAAAGATAGCCCCTCTTCAGCTCTGACCAGCAGGAAGAAGGGCCTAGAGGCTTTGCAGCCTGCAGAGGGATGTTGCCTAGCAACTTGGGAGACTTTACTGCAAACTCACTAAATCCTGAATTCCTCAGCTCTAATTTGGGAAGAGAAAAGCACGGAGTCCAAGCCTGATATCCAGTCTGCCCCCAGTGTCCTCCTTCCCTCTCTCCTCTGGAATCTGGAGTTGAAATCCAACGGGAACTGGCACAAACCAAGGCTCTAGATGTGCGCATCATTTAGGCAAGGGCTCGAGTTCCCAGGACATCCTGTCATTTGGTGGAGGTGGGGGGGATGGAGGATGTGCCAGAGACAGATTGGGGAACAGATTTTCAGTTACAAGGGTGGGTGGGTCCCAAACATGCTGGGAGAGACACCCCTACACCCCAAGCTCTGGAATCCCAGCCAGCAGCCAGCTCAGCTTGGGGCCCCAAGCTGGCTAAACCTGTCCCCAGCCAGAGTGGCCACTGGGATTTCCCTTCCGCTCACCTTCCCTTTGGCAAGCAAAGCCCGTGGCCCAAATATTCAGGTAAGAAGGAAGCGTGTGACAGCCATGCTAGGACTGGCCAGGGGCTGTTGGTTCACAGCAGTGCTGTTGCAGGATCCCCTGTCCCGACCAGAGCCACAGGGCATTTTCCCCCTCCTCCCTCTGCTTCAGTCAACAGGCCTGAAGGGCAGGCTTCCTTTCTTCCTTCCCTCCTCTGGGACCTCAGCTGAGAAAGACTTTCTAGTTTTCTCAGAGGTGGCCCACTCTCTTCACTAACATGCCACACTGCCAGCTCTTGTACCCTGCCTGGTTTGGGGAGGCTGGCAACCACGAAAGTGGCAGGCTGCTCCTCCACGAGGCTCCTCCCCTATCTCCCCTTCCCAGACCTCTCACAAAGCCCACATCCTTCCTCCATCATGGGCCTAAAGAACTGATGACTTCTGATATTTCCCTATACTGGGTTGAGAGTATTTTTTTCCTCCCAGGGGCAAGGGTGAGAGTGGTCAGTTTTTGTCGTATTCAGAAACAGTAGATTAAGAGGTTAGGGAGAGTGTGGTTCAGTGAGTGGGAAGGAAGAGTGTCCATATCCATATATAAATACATACAATGGGTGTTGTGCATGTATGATTTTGTCTGTTCAGTGCAGGGCATTTAGATAGATGGATGGATAGATAGATATGTAATGCAGACATTTCAGGTAGTGTGATTGCCTGTGGATATGTGTGCGTGTGTGTGCACATAGCAGGGAGTCTGCATGTATCTGCTCAGTGTGTGTACAAGGTTTATGTAGTTATTTTTGCAGGCTGTGTCTGTAGTGTCTGAATGTTGAAGAAATGTACGTTTTAGTGAGCCTGGGGAGTATCATATATGGGCATGTGGGGCTCAGGCGTGAGCTTTTGTGTTTATGTGTGCCCACCTTCTCCATTCCACAGCAGAGTGATGACGATACCTTTAAACCGCACGTCTTAGGGGGCATTTCTTTGAGGACTGAGGGGGAGGGAAGGTAGAGGGAGCCATATTTGGGACTCTAGCTAGTTTGTGGAAGTGTGGGGAGGTGGGTGAGGGGTGCATGCTTTTCTCTATGTGGGTGGGAGGGGTGCTGTGCACAGATGCGAGTGTATTCGTGCCCGGGATGTCGGGGTCCTCCTTCTGCCTGCGCCAGCATACATCTGCCTGGCAGTCTGCCGCCTCGGCAGCAGGGGCGGTGAGTTTGGGAGGATGGGGTGTGTAGGAGGAATGGATGGAAGTGTGTAGGCAGAGGGGTTGGGGCAGGAGGGGGAGCGAGCCGGAGGGAGCCGAGAGGGGGCGTGGTCCCCCTCCAATCTCCCCGCCCACCCTGCCGAAGGCTTCTCCTGATTGGCTTCTCGACCGCAGGACTCAGGTTACTTTCTCCCGCAGGGCCGAGCGCGGGAGAGAGGACCCGAGAGCTGAGCGGCTGGTTTGGCCCCGGTCGGCTGCCTCCCCACTGCCCGAGTCCCCACCCGGCACCGCACCGACACCCTGCGCCAGCCTCCGTCCCAGACAAGGGCCCCCAACACCAGCATGGACTGCTGCACCGTAAGTTAGAGGGTCTGGGGGACGGGCACTCAGCTTGGCCTGGGGGAAGGGGCACCCGAGAAGCCCCTGGAGGGCGAGTGAGGGATGGAAGTGGGTGCAGAAGACCTAGCAGCAAGAAGGGTGCCTGCTAAGACGTGGGTGGTGGGTGGTGGAAGGCGCCCGCCTGACTTGAAAGCCCTAGGAAGAATGTCCCTCAACTCGTGGGGGCGTCTGAGCGCGCGTCCGCCAGGCAGTCTAGGTTGGTCTGGGAGCTCGGCAAGGCTCTGCAACAGGGAAGCTGCAGGTTAGACGAGAAGAGGAACTTCCCCCAGAGTGACGCTGGAAACCGTCGCCTAGCGAAGCTACCGCGACTCCTTTCCCCTGGCTTTCGTACCCCACCCCATTCCCCATCCCACTGCCACCGCCGTCGGTGGGCTGACAGGTTGACTCTCGTGACCCTCGCGCCCTGTACAGCGCCGGTGAGATAGTCAATTATTATTGGTTAGCTTAGTAGCGATGATGGGTTGCAAAGAGCCTAGTCCGCGTGGTTCTAGGGAGGGACTGGCCAGACCTCCAATGCCTTCTAGCCCTGGAGGGGGCTGGGTGAAGTGACCGCGAGAGAGCCCTGCTGGCGAGGGAAGGAAGTGTCTGCAATTTGTCAGCGCCCACACGGAGACCTAATGCCAAAGCGGGTTGCTGTTAAAGTACTCTGGTATGAAAGCGCCTGGTACAGGACCAGGCTGCTGGCACAGTCGAGGAGTGCAGTGATCATGCATGTATACAATTTATTTGTTCATTTATTTGATATTTTAATTAATTTTTTTTTTTTAGCCCCTACATATGGAGAAATTCCTACTCCAAAGTCTTGTCTTCTCAGCCATTTGGTCAACCCAGCTAATGATACAAGAGGTTATCACTTTGCCTGCTTAGAAAAGGGAAAAAAGTGAGGTTTGGAAGGAAAGAATAGACCAGTTTAGAAGAGGTGAGGCTTCCCTATGTCTGGGTACCAAGAGGCAGAAAGAACTTAGGGACAAGTGGTTGTTGTTATGATGTTTAACTCTTATTAATACAAATAATAGTTGTCAGTTTGTGAACGCTTACCACATACCTAACATTTTATGTTTAATCGTCACAACAGCCCTGTGGAGTAGATATTTTCCCCATTTCACAGATGTGCAAACTGATGTTTAGAAAGATTAAATGATTTGCCCAAGGAGGCACTGCTTCTAAGTGTGGAGGTGGGACACTAGCCTTGTCTGATTCCAATAGCTGTAATTTAACCTCTCCTATAAACATTTACTATATTTCCTCATTATAAAGGTAATATGGTCATAACAAAAAAATTTAAAAACTAAAGAAAAGTATAAAAAAGAAACATATCAATCATCTACAATCCCACCCCCTGGAGAAAGCTCTAATAACATATTTTCTTCCAGGCTTTCTCCTCTGTTTGTTATTCCCCAGGAAGCAGTTTTTGGTTGTGAAAGGAGGAATGGGCTCTTAATGGAGGTTCCTGGGCTCCTCACCCCCAGCAGTATTTTACAAAACAGAGAAAATAAATGGATGGTGGGATCTGGATACACATGTAAGGGAGAGGAAATACTGCCAAGATGGTAAGAATGATGGGGAAGGGAAGGTAGGAAGAATGGTCAGTGGAAGGAGGTGAGAGAGCAAAGACTCCAAGAAGCCAGGGAAGGAATGTAAATTGTCTCCCCTGGTACCTGCAGGACTAATTAGAGTAGGATGTCGTGTCCCTGCCTGTAGGCTCTGGTCTGCCCTGGACCATGCTCCTGGGTGCCCACAAGGCCATACTGAGGGATTGGTAGACGTGGTTGGAATAAGTGTCCCCTAAAAAAAGGAGAAGCTGCCCACCCAAACAGCACAGAAGAGGCAAATGCACAATTATCCCAGTGGCCCAGCACCCTGGGTCACCTCCTCCAGCACATTCTCTACACAGGAGCCTTCCCCTTTCAGGCCCTGTCCTGGGTCTGCAGGGCTAAAGAACTGAGCAAGAGACAGCACCATTGTCAGGCTGTGGGGGGGGGGGGTGGCGTGGTGGCCAAGAAGAGGTAACGGGGCAGAGCATAGGGGCAGGGCTGGCACTGAGCATCTTCCTACCCAACCCCATTCTGTGGAGGGCTGGGCTCAGTGCTGGGAAGCAGCTGGGACATGCATAGAGAGCAGAGCACATCTCGGGGGTGGGGACCGGTCCCTCTTCACCTTCCATTCTGGGGCTGTCCTTGCTGGTGTCCTGCTTTATTTTCTTCTTTCTCCTTTGTAAGGAGGCTCAAACAGAAATGAGAAGAAGAAAACAGATCCGCTTTTTTTTTTATAAGAGCAAGAGCTGTTGATTCAGATGTATCAGTTGCCAATTTACATAGTCTGACTTTATATCTGACTTTCCTGAATTCACTTAATATAAAAAGGCAAAGAAACATTTTTTTGGACCCATTTTTTGCTTGGTCTAGTTGACTTGGTCCAGCTGAACTCATAGGAATAATTACCTGCCCTGAGGTAGTGGTTAACAGCACAGGTTTCTGAATCCCATCACTATTTATCAGCTCTGTGACCTTGGGTAAGTTACAAAATGTCTCCGAGGATGTGTCTTTACCTGTAAAATGGGAATTAAATGAGGTAATGTGTGCAAAGCGCTTAACACAGGGCCCAGCATATAAGAAGCAGTAGGCAGGGATCGTTCTTAAAGCTTTTAGGATTTGGGGGCTGAAGGAGACTTTATTCATCTAGGCCAAGTTCTAGTTGTGGCTGAAGATATTGAGACCCTCAGAGGTGAAGTGATAGGACCATTTGGGACCAGAAGCCATGGCTCGTGTTTTGCCCACCTTTGTCCCCCTCCCCCTCCCCCTCCTACAAACCCCCCAATTCGTGCAGAGCTCTCAGGCACATACCACCAGATCTTGGCTTTGGAAGGCACCAACCCAGGCACCATGACCCTTCCCGGATTCCTTTTACTGTCCCTCCATTTCTGTCCCTCCAGCTCTGCCCTGAGAATTCAGCTGGAGGGAGAGGGGGCTGATTCCGGGGAGGAGCAGCGTGCTGAGGGTGGCTCTGTCTGTTGTTCCATCCTGGATCCAGCTGGGGTGGGTGGTGACCGCAGGTGGGCCTTAGCATGTTTGGGGGAAGGTACCCCTTCCTCCGCTCAACCTCTACAGCTGCTGGCCCAGGAGAGGGGCTCAGGAATGTTTTCTTGATCATCGTCCTCTTTTGAGAAGAAGCATCCCTATTCCCTGAGACATCCCAAGAAAGGCTTGAGCTCTGAGAATCAAGGATCCAAAAAGGGTTGTTTCTGTTTCTAAGTGGGGGATAAGATGTCGGGGGGCGAGCACTAGACCCAGAAAAGACAAAAAGAGTGTGTCAGACCCTTCCACAACCACACCGGCCCTTGATAACTCCTTTTAACCGAAGCTGAATCAATTGTGGACATCTTGAGCACAAACGGAGGAACTCTGAAGCCCAGGAAATGAAGACAGCCTTGGGAACCATATGAGAGGAAGCCATTTGTAAACCTGGGCTTAGGGCATCTGGGATGTAAATCTGTGCCTCCTAGGACAGGACCGGGCTGGGGCAGTGATCACTGAGGCCCCACGCACACCCATCCCAATTCTGTGAACCGGACGGGCGATAGAGCGAGGGGAAAGGAATAGAACTGAATTACTACTACTGCGTGAGACCTCTGCGGAGAAGCAAAGTACAGGGAAAGCAGTGGAAGTCCTCAGGCAAAAAAAAAAAAAAGCAAATTCCTAGAAGCCAGAGGGTCAGTTCAAAGAAGAAATGCCCTTCTAACTCCACAGTACCCTTCTGCTTCCTACCCCACGTCATCACTGTGAGTAACGCTAAGCGAGAGGCAGGCTGGGGGCGGGGGTGCTGAGGCCCTCTCCGTTCCAGAGCCTCGACTCTGAAATCAGTCCCATCAATTCCCTAACCCTTTCTATTCTCAGCTAGGGCAGGCTGCTGGAGAAACAGAAACCTGGAGCCTGTGGGTGGGTCTCATTATTTTTAGGTTGATCCCTATGAAATTGTTTTTATACGACCACTTTAGCCTACAAAAAGAGCTCTTTCACATCAACTCACTATCATTTAAAGGAATCATAATAGCTACCATTCATCGACCAACTAGATCATGCCAGAAGCTTTCTGCATATCACATTGTTTATTCTTCCCCACAACCCAGAGGTAGATATTATTATCTGATTGCAGATGAAGGAACTGAGTTAGGAAAAGCTTAGAAAAATTGCCCAAGACCACTCAGTTAGCAAGTGGTGGAGCTTGGTTCCTTTTCTTGAATGCCTTTGCTTACCTGCAGCGTAGGGGTTAAAAATATACTCTGGACTCTGACATACAAAGGATTGACTCTTTGGTCCACTGATAACTACCGGTATGACCTCAGGTATGGTTTCCACACTCTAATCAGTTTTATCAGGGGTAAACTGGGAAAACAATAAAAGGTACATCATAGAGTTGTTGCCAAGACTAAATAAAATAACATCTGTAAAACTCCGTGATGCTGTGCCGGGAACCAGGGCAGTGCTTAAATGGTAGCTATTGTCATAATTCTTTTCTTTCTCTTGAGCACATCATGGAAAGGGCTTCTTGCTCCTGCTCTTTTCCTTTTGTCCTTTTTTGGAGTGAAGCCTTTTCTCTGTAGCTTCTTCCAGACCATCTCCTCTCTTCTGTTTGAGTACATCCTGAGGAGCAGTGCAAAATGGAGAGGCAATGGGAAAACAGTCTCTGGCCTCTAGCCCTGGGTGGAGGGAGGCTGCGTCGCTGAGGGGTAAGCCCCATCTTCACCCTAACTCCAGCTTTGAGCTCTGGTGTGATTTTACTTAGCGAAGGGACTGGCCTGCTGATTTTTCTGAACCCTCTCCCAGGGAATCCTGGACTCAGAAGGGACCCTTCTGAGCTGGAGGCACCCTGTGAGGACGGGGGAAGGGCAGCCACGTCCAGGAGTCCCTGCTGTGGTTTGCTGTGCTCCTCCAAACCCACCCTCCGGTCAGCTGGGCAGCTCCCCTAACTCGGCTGCTGGCAAGGGGCCTTCGCTCACTCAGGGCTACCCGGCTGTCTTGTATCCCATCTACCGTGCACTTCTCTTTCCTGAGTCGGGAACACAACTGTGTCCACCTGACCCTGAACCTTCCTTTTTGCCTGCCGCTGCCCAGAAGACACACACACACACACACACAGGCCCTGCCTTAGCCCTTCTCTGCACTTCCCACTCCCGCGTCGCCCTCGTCTCAATCCCGCAACACTCTCCTCCTACCCCACCCTCGGGGGGCCTCGGCCCGGTCACCCCACAAGGACGCCCCCCCCACCCCCCAGGAGAGCGCCTGCTCCAAGCCGGACGACGACATTCTAGACATCCCGCTGGACGATCCGGGTGCCAACGCGGCCGCTGCCAAAATCCAGGCGAGTTTCCGGGGCCACATGGCGCGGAAGAAGATAAAGAGCGGAGAGCGCGGCCGGAAGGGCCCGGGCCCCGGGGGTCCTGGCGGAGCTGGGGGCGCCCGGGGAGGCGCGGGCGGCGGCCCCAGCGGAGACTAGGCCAGGTGAGGCGGGCCGCAGGCTCTCCTTCCCGACCCCGGACCCCCTCCTCCGAAGGAGCAAGGAAGACTAAGGGCGGCTGGGGGGTGGAGAGGGGTGTGGAAGGAGTCAAGAATGGGGACCTAGAAATCTGAGACGTGCGGGGGGTGGGAGGAGGCTGAGGACGCCGCGGGTTGGAGCGCTCACCTGTTTCTCTCTCTCCACCCGGCCTGCTGCCCCGCCCCGGACCAAAGAACTGAGCATTTTCGAAGGTAATGAATAGGACTCCGAAGCAGCGGGGTGGGACCCCTGAGTGGGAGGAAAGGCCCAAATCCCCAGCCCTTCCCTCCGCCCGCCCTCACCTCCTCCCAGCCAGGGAAAATGCACCTGCGCCTGCAGGCTTTCTGACATTTGGAGACGCCTGAGACTGCGACGGGGACGCACCTGGACCGACACAGATACCCAGTCACCCGCGTTTGACCAGCCCGGCCGGGGGCCATAAACATCCAGCGTCTCACACGTACCGGCCGCGGGCTCATTTCAGCTCAGTGACTCCGGGTGGGCAGTTCCGGGTGACCGGGGCTCCCTGGTGCTCCCCGCCCTGGTTCCTGGTTCAGGAAGGAGAGGGGAGAGGAAGTACTGGGAGAGGGCAGGTTCTCAGACTTTCTCTCTCCTCAGTTTCCGAAGAGAGATGGATGCCACGTCCCCTTCGCAGTGACGAGACTTCCCTGCCGTGTTTGTGATCCTCTCCTTCCCACCAACCTGCCAGCTTCAGGAGCCCTCTCTGCGTCCTCAGAGACTCCCTCACCGAGGCAGACTCCGTCGAGGACTCACCAAGGCCGTGCCCTTTTAGTTAGTTCTCCAGTCTAGTATGGTCCCCATTTGCCCCCCCTTCGACCCTAACCCCAACCTCCGCGCTCCCAAATCTTCCTTCTTTAGCTTCTCGCCCACCTCTCCCCGCACCCAGCATGCTGCTCTGCCTCCGCAGCCTCGGTGCGCTTCCCTTCGCGCTCTGCGGAGGGCGCCCTAAGCGTTGCCCAAAAACACTCCAAAAAAAACGTCCTTTCGATCTCTGCGCAGCTAAAGGGGGCGCCGTGCCTCTCTGCGCTGTTCACGTCCCAGCTTAGTCCCAGAACTTTGGATAGGGGAGGAGGGTTTTTATGGTGTCGGATACCCCTTGCTGTGATCGGAAGTCCCCATTTCACACCCCAACCCCACACCTGCCTGTAATCTGCCCTCCCCTCTCCCCAGCGCACCCCGAGAGCCGCCTCTCCAGCTCTCTGCTTGTTTCTGCAAAGGCCGAGTGTGGGGGAGGCTCGGTAGGAGGAGTCTTCCGCGGCCCCGCCCCCACGGGCTCCTGGGGCTGTGGCCGGGAGGGTTTTTATCTCCGTGTGTGCATGTGACCGTGCTGGGTTGGAATGTGAACAATAAAGAGGAATGTCCAAGTGTTCAGAGGGTGCCGGGGGGAGGGAGTTTGGGTGCACAAGGCCACCGTTCGAAATTTTGAACAATCTCCTTTGACCGAACCAAAAAGTGGAGGTGGACAGGGGGAAGGGAGGAGAGGAACCTGGGTTAGAACGTACCTTCGGAACCAACCAGACTTCCCGCCTACAGCATCCCCTCTGGGACTTCAAGCCCGCTCCTTCCCTTACCGGTAACACCCTCTGGGCCGCCTAGAGGAATTGGCTATACCGGCAGAAAGAAGGAGACAATATGGTACCCAAAGGCTTTACTTCTTGATATTCCCCCTCAGGGATCCGGAGAGAAATCAGACAAGCATAGGGAGCTTAGACTTGGTGGTCGTCACAGTGCTGGCAGACGGGGGCCTCTCCAGGAGCCCATTGTTAGAATCGGCCCTCACAGAAGTTTGCTCAGAAATCCCAGGTGCGGTGGCATCCTCCCTGATAAACATAAGCAATTCTTAGTGAAGGCTGGAAGCATCCCTCAGAGCACCATCATCCTCTAACCCAGGGACTTCTAATTTTCACTCTGCATAGGAATCATGGTGGAACTTTGGTTGAAATGAAGATTTCAGGCCCCATCACCCCAACACACACACACACACACACACACACACACAGATTCTGCTTCAGGAGGAATAGGAAGTGGCTTGAATCTGCATGTTTAACAAGCTCTTGGTGACTTCTGTTCGAGTAATCTGAGGACCACACTTGGAGAAATATTGCTCTGATCCCTATTCTGGACCCCATGACTGACAGCTGAAGTTGAGGACAGGCGGCTTTTGCCCCTCCTTTCCCTACTGCCCCCCACACAAGAACGAAACTCAGCTGGGTGCTCAGGACAAACAACTGGCCTCCACATCCTGTCGATGTGTATAAAAGGCCTTAAATAGTGAAAAGTAAAAATTCTTCTAAGTGTGAGGAGGTGAGGGCAGCTCATGAACCAAGCCCTCTGCCCTGCACACTTCGCTCACACGCTCAACTACACGGGCTGTACTGCCACTCCTACCACAAAAGCCCAGGGCTGAGCAGCACCCCGTGCCCTGACCGCCCCCCAACAAAGGTGTCAGAGTTTGAGGGCTGAAATCACCAACTCTTTTTTTTTTTTTTTTGCGATACACGGGCCTCTCACTGTTGTGGCCTCTCCCGTTGCGGAGCACAGGCTCCGGACGCCCAGGCTCAGCGGCCATGGCTCACGGGCCCAGCCGCTCCGCAACATGTGGGATCTTCCCGGACTGGGGCACGAACCCGTGTCCCCTGCATCGGCAGGCGGACTCTCAACCACTACGCCACCAGGGAAGCCCTGAAGTCACCAACTCTTAACCCAAGCCCTTTCTTCCCACTCTGCACCAGCCCTCAGCCCTCCTGCTCACCGTAGGTCACTACCCCCATATGTCTCCTTGGGCTTCTTCCTCCTGTCTTTCTGGAACCGTATCAGGCAGAACACAGCAACTGACAGGAAGAGCACGCCCAGCAGCACCCCGATCACAGCCCCGGCCACTCGGCCTTTGGAAGGCTCTAGGAGACACAGGATCCTCAGAGCTGCAGACCTTCCTTGGTGCCTCAGATAGCGTCATGCAGACCCCCAACCCAGGCCTGCCAGCCCAGCCTTTGCCCAGCATCCCCTACCAGTCACAGAGAGGGTCAGCTCACAGGATGCGCTGCCCATCTGGTTGGTGGCCACACAGCGGTAGGTGCCCGAGGAAGCCAGGGAGAGATTGGTGAGAATGAGCCGGCCGGACACCTCATCTAGAGGGTAAAGAGGAAGTGTTCCATCATTCATTCAACTCACAGTGAGCTATACTATGACAAAAGCATATTTCATTTCATCTTACAATAATCCTGTCAGGAAGGGACTAACCTCATTCTATTAGTGGGAAAACTGGCTCAGAGAAGGAAAGTAATTGTCCAAGGCGACCCAGAGAGGAAGTGTCAAAACCACTGCAACTTCTGCACTCTTCCCACACTACACAGCTGCCTTTTCAGGGAAGGGGGAGACAGCACACACATGAAGGGTTCAGAAACCACAGTGGAATCGGGGTGGGGTGTCTACTGGCTGATGTCAGGTTCTTGGTTGGGGGAAAAGGGCTTGATTGCTGGAAACTGTGCCCTCTGGGTGGCTCTAAGCTGACCCAAATGCTCTTCTAAGCTGCTTCTTACCTTGCCTTTAGAAGGAAGAGCACACATTGGGAAGTGATCTGGGGGGCTCTCCGGATTGATAAAGGGGCTTGCTGGGGCTGGGAGGAGAACCAGGGCACTGGAGCCAGCATAAGGAGGCTGGGAAGCCAAGGCTCTTAGACAGTCACATGGTTTCTTGAAGAAACTGGCTAAATGATTCAAGCCAGTCCATGCTACTCTTCCTCGGCTTCCTCTCTAGGAAGTTTGGAAATGATTCATGACCCTCAAGAAATCTAAAAGGAATCCCGACCCCCAAAATAGGCAAGTGGGAATCATAGAATGCCCCTGCCTTCCACTCTCTTCCAGGATATCAGAAGTACATTTAGCTTGAGTAATGCTCCGGGGACCACGCAGCCACAGACTGTACAGGAAGACAGGAGGGAACAATAACAGAAGCCAGGGAAGAAGCAGGGGAAAGGTATAGCAGTGTGTCTCATACCTGCAAGCTTGGAACTCGTACTGTGGGCGTGTGGAGTTTAGAGGTCAGATTTGCCCAGGTTCTGAGTCCCTTCTTCCTTGAAGAAGGTGGTGTGGGCCCTTACCTTGTACCATGCTGCCGGGAGGTGGTGTAGGAGAAGATCCAAGGCGGATCCAGTTGTACACTGGCCTGGGGGCTCCCTCGGAAGAGCTGCATCTCAATGCAGCAGAGGCCCCCACGGAGGTTTGACCACTCTGACTGCACGAGGGGCTATTGGGAGGCACTGCAAAAATCACAGGAAGTACCTTAGCCATCTTCTAACCCCACCCCCATGAAGTGCTAGGTTTCCTGCTTCAATACCTCCTACCATGTAGCGGTCCACCTCTATTCACATACCACTGCATCCCAAGGAAATGATTTCCACTATTGGAAATTCTGACTGTTAGAAAATTCTTCTTCATGTTGAACCAAAATCTGTGTTAGTATAATATCCCGGTTGGTCCCAATACCTGCCCTCTGGGCCCACAAAGAGAAATGAAAAAAACTCTCCTCCCCGGGACAGCCCTTCAGATATTTGAATGCAGCTGTCACACACCACCTCCTAAGTCTTCTCTTTTCCATCTAAACATCTCCAGCCCCTTTAATAGTTTATTCTGTTTGCTCATCTCCAAGCAGGCTCTAGTTTGGGGTGAGATGGGTGCTCTGAACACAAAGTTAGTGCTTAGTGACAGGGGCCCTTTTTCCTTTAATGGGCACTCCCCCTCTCTGCTACTGACCTAGAGAGGGACAGAAACCTAGCTACAAATGGGAGGTTCCCCCAAAGATGGGGCTGTTGGGGGCATGACTCAGATCCCTATCTGTGGGAGCGACTGAGGGAGGAGGCGTTCTTTGTGGAGGGTGGAGCAGGGGTAGGATTGGAGGACTTTGGGAAGGAGGCATTTTCCTTTGGGGTCCCCAGTGCAGTTGTGCCCTTGGGCTGGAAATCAGGATAGGGGAGGATTTAGCAGGGCCAGTGCAATCTTTCAGGTTATGTGGGTGGCTGGTGGGTCCCCAGCCTGCCTCACCCAGCACAGTAAGGTTGATTAACCCCAACCCATTGGTGTAGAAATCTGGCGGGTTGTTAACATGGCAGAGGTAGGTTCCAGTGTCCGAGGGGTGGACATCAGTCAGTTTCAGGGTGGCCACTCCCCCTGTGGGGGGGTTCTGAAGCAGGCTGGCCCTCTCTGCCTTAGAACCAGTTGGATACAGCTGGCCGTTGGTGAAGTACAGGATCTGGGGAGAAGCAGAAGACACATATGTGCTTTTTGCCACCTGGTGTCAACTCTGTAGTCCTTCTTCAACGCGGGGATTAGAAGCCCCTCCCTTATGGCCGCCAGGGAAGCTGATACTCTGTAGCCAGAACCAGGGAGGTCTATCTGTCGCCAAATACCATCCCTTCCCAGGTGCTGAAAGAACTAGTCATTGCTTTCCGCTAAGCATGCTCTCAGTCTGGGGGGAGGGGAAGCAAATATTCCCGGAGGCGGCAGCATTTTTATCCTGCTTTTAATCACAACAGCTTAGCCTTGGTGGGTTTATGAACTGACACTGGAGCGGCACTAACGTACAGGGGTTGCATGGAGGAACTCGGGGAGGCGGCTGGATACACAGGGCTGTATGTGTGATATAGCCTCACGGAGACTGCGTTCCTAAGAAGATCTAGAAAGATCTTTTTCATCCAAGCATACTGATCCACAAATGCGCCCTCTCCGACCCCCTCGCCCTCATCGCTGGGTGGGTCCCCTGTTCCTGCCTCTCTTGGCCAAGCCCGCCAAAGGCAGGAGGGCCCCCCATTCCGCGCGGGTGCCCTCAGCTCACGGGTTGGGACGAGGAGACGGGCCTCCCAGGCTGCACGAAGCTCCACTCCAGGGCGAAGTTGTCTCCCACCGACGTGCTGTAGCTGCACGTCAGCTCGGCGGTCTTGCCCACCGGCACGCTCAGGGGCTCGGTGGGCACCTTCACCTCCACGGCCAGCCCGGGGGCTGCAGTGGCTGAAAGGCCGGCGGGAGAAGCGCTCAGGTGACGCGGCCGGGGTGCCCTTCTTCCCCTGGGGCTCAACTCCCTCCGCTCCATCCCTCCCTTCCTGAAGCCTGAGGTTTCCAGGAGGGAGGAGCCCACACACCACCGGCTCTTTGGGTGGAAGGAACTGAAAGGGCCAAGACTGGGCCCGGTCTGAGGGTGTGCTTGTCGGGGAAAGGAAAACAAAAGTCGGGTGGTGGTTACACCCTCCCGAGAGGCCCAACTTATCTGCTGGCCCAGCGGCCTCCTCTGTCCTCCACCCTCCCAGCGGCCTTCGACGTCTTCTACCGGGCTCTGGCCCCGCCCCCTCCCACCGCCGTCCGCTGGCCCCCTCCTTAC